TTTTTTTCACTGTTTCCATACATTGAATGACAAATAGGTAAAACATGGAGTGCTACTACATTGACTGACAAATAGTTCGAATTTGTGAGGAGTGCTGCTATATTGACTGAGGGTTTTGGGTTGTTAATGACAGTAAAAAAAAGTAAGGACCAGTGTAATCCAAGTCAATAATATATGTCAAGTAAATAAAGTACTTTGAGGGGGAAATTAAAAAACTTCACAAAATAAACTTTTATTGGGAATATGCATTGAAAATGAACATTTTGTATTGAGATTCTTAATAAATTTTACCTGAAAGCTAACTCCCAAGGTTGTAAACATCAGTCCAATTTCAACTGCCATAGTGTTAAGATATTTTCATCCAAAAATTTTAACATGGCTGAGTTAGAGCAGTTCAACAGTTTTTTTAAAACAATTGGGAATGATTCAAAAGCAAGGAAATTGGGTGTCATATAAGTTCAAACTTAGAGACATTAAAAGATAATTTTTTGCCTGCAAGATCAAGACCAAGCTGATCATGCGACAAAAGAAAAGGTTTTCTGCATTGAATTGTTACTGGTGATAAAAAGTGGATACTGTATGACAACCCTGGATTGCCTCAAAAGACCAAGACCTTTTTCAGCGTGGAATCCGTATGCTACCTGAAAGATGGGGAAAAAAGGCCAATGGATTCTAATAGTCTTCTCAAAATAAACTGTTGATTTTTATAAAAATACGCTCAATGCATATTCCTGTAAGTTTTTTAAATGTTGGCTTAAACAGCAGATATAACACAAAAAGGTTTTTAAGTAAGTGATTAGCATTCTTAAGAATAGCACTGCATAAAAAAGTATATTTATTAAGTATATATAGTGTACATATAACATAATATAACATAAGTGTTGAATTTTATTTAATAAAGTCAAAATAGTCACAAATGAAATTTTTAATTATGCAATTCTATTATTTTTATTTTTTTATAAATTACTAGTGTATCATTTACAAAGACAGTAAGCTTTTTAATAGCTTACAGTAACATGTGTTTAATACAGACAGTAACACTATTTTGTCTATATATCTATCAGTAACTAGATTAAACAAAACTCATTTTTTCATCAAAAAAGATTAAAAAGATTATTTTTTAAATCATTATATATATATATATATATATATATATATATATATATATATATATATATATATATATATACATATATATATATATATATATATATATATATATATATATATATATATATATATATATATATATATATATATATATATATATATATATATATATATATATATTATTTAAATGAAGAAAAACAACATTATAATAGTACTTTAAGTTTCGTGCCTTTCAACAATCATCAGTTATTAATTACAAATTAAAAACGTAAATTAACGCTTAAAAAACGAATCAAAATTTTATGGTAGAACAAGTTCTGACGTAATTGGAAAAGGCACAATCATTTAATCTCCAATTTCCAAGCGAAGATAACAGGAATTTATTTAAATGTTGGCATTTAGATAATATTTCGTCTTTTTTATTAAGCAGGTTGTTTCCATTAAAAGATAAAATTTTCTAATTTCTCATGAAGACAAAGTTTGCAGGTTTTTGTTTCTGGTTTGTAAGCTTCACAGCGTTTTATAATTTTCCACTTTATAATAGGTGTTGTACCTTTTTCTTTTAAACTCCAAAATTTTTTTGAAAGTTCAGTATCATTTTTATATTTGATCACATTAAAAGACTTTGAATGATTTGCGTATCTGAGCTTGAATGGTGTCTCACTGATACCAAAATATACTTTTTCCTTAGGATCTGGATCATCAGAACTCACAGTGGCTTGGTAAATAATATTACTTACTAAACATTGGTTACTTAATGGAAAAGCGGATTTAGTAATGCAGTTGCATGTTTTTGTAGTTATATTTCTTTTACCTTGTAAAATCTTGTGGTTGTGTGAACTAATGATGGATTTAATATTTTGCATGCAGCTATAACTAACCTTGATTGAATTTCTATTGAATACTTTGCGTAGTATGTGATTCACAGGGAAATGTAGATCAACCAATGCTAATAAACGATTTCCTATTTTTGTTTCTACATTTAGACTAAACATTTAGAGGGTTATACCATATAATATTTCGCTTGCGATTTTTATTTTTAGGTGATGTAACCTGGGGTTGGTATGTAAGCTTACAGTTATGGCACGAAACTTTAAGTACTATTATAATGTTGTTTTTCTTCATTTAAATAAAATAAATATATATATATATATATATATATATATATATATATATATATATATATATATATATATATATATATATTTCAGGCGTATCTTGAAGAGTTTAAGCAAAGTTTAAGTATAAATGTTTTGTTATTACCTATACAAGCTGGTGCTAAAGGATTAAATATCATTGAAGCAACACATGTTATATTTGTTGAACCAGTATTAAACATAGGAGAAGAACTGCAAGCAGTCGGAAGAGTTCATCGAATCGGTCAAACAAAGTATTATACTTTTATTTTGTCTTTTATTATACTTTTTGTATTAATTTAGTTAAGCTCTTGTTCTTTTTTTGTGTTTTAATAAAACAAATTTCTTATGACTTAAATCACAAATATCTTATATCACAAATGTGTGCTGTTATTGTTTTCATTTTTTGTATAAATCACTATAATCACATTATTTACAAAGATATTTAATAGTTTTTTAATAGTAACTTGTATCTAATACCAACAGTAATTTATATCAATCATAGAATTTTTCATCATTTTCTACTTCTTTCTCCCATCCTTTTGGTAATATAGAAATACTGTATCAGAAGAATGATTTTTCAACATTTTGAAACATGTACTAGCCAAACCATGTTTTATCGATCAGAACAAGTGATAATCAGAAGACACAATGTCTGTTGAAAACACCGGGTGTGGCAGAACATCCCATTCAAACTGCAAGAGTGTATCCTTCACAGCTCTTGTAATGTGTGGTTGAGCTTTGTTATGCAAGAGGATAAATTTGAATTTGTTACACTTGTTATTATCTTTTTTTGCAACAATATGCCATTCATCTTAATCAATTAATATTGGTAAACATCTGCAGTTACAGGTTTTTAGCAACTCATAATAATCTACACCTACTTGATCCCATTGTATACACAACAAAACTTTAAGTTTTGTTTCAACAAAACTTTAAGACTATAAGTTTTCTGCATATTAGTGAAGTACTTTCTCTAAAACTTATTTTGCTTGAGATTGCAGTAGTAGATCCGCTTTCACCACCTGTCACAGTACACCAAAGAAAAAGTTCACACAAATAATTTTAGCCCAAAATCTTTAAAGTGTCCCAAGATATTTCAATTTTAATATACAGTATATTATAAATAGATATAAGCTTACTAGATCTACAAAGAATAAAAATCAATCAGGAAGACCACGCAAAACAACGCATTATCAGGATAAAAAGCTTGTGATACTAAGCAAAAAAAATCCCCGTTTGATATAAACATACAAATGCAACATTTCTATGGAATGAATTGTAGTATTTCTACTATAAAACGTTGTTTACGTCACTTTAATTTATTTGGAAGACGTCCAGCTAAAAAACCATTAGTTTCCTTAAGAACTGTGGGGTCGGAGTTGCGGAGTTGCGACATTTTTAGTCGGAGTCGCATAACAAAATCTCGACTCCAACTCCAATAGTTAAACTTCTCGGTATTGCACGTGCATGTATAAAACATTCAATTAACCTTATATTAATACTAAACCTCAAGAGAACATTTCATAAATTTGTCAAAAAACTTTTTTTTAACTTATCGCATAATATTTTTTAAAAAATTCAAAGAATTTTTCAAAAATTTTCCTTTGGAGTTGGAGTCAGAGTTGGAGTCAGAGTCGGAGTTGTACTCACAAAATTTCAACAACTGGAGTCGGAGTCAGAGTCGTTACTTTTTTTTTATGACTCCACACCCCTGGTTTCCTTGAAAAACCGTAACGCCGAAAAGGAATTTGCATCAGAACATCTAAAGTGGAGTAGTCAAAATGATTAAAAATTCTTTTCAGTGATGAAAGGAAGTTTATCCTGATGGAATCAGGTATGTGCAATGACCCAAGCCTTTCCAGGAAAGGCGTGCGGTTTTTCGTCTTGTATGACCAAGCGCAAGTATTTTATTTTAGACAACTTGGTCACGGCCATTTGCAAGTTTTATTTTAATCATTGCAGAAAAGGTTTGAAAAACAAAACAAAAAAAACAAAAAAAAGAAATTAAAATTAAAAAAAATAGAAAGAATTTAATAATTTAAATAATTTGTGTACTGATTTTATTTTTGTTTCTTTAGACTGGTTGTTACATTCAGCAACAAAATTAGAAAAGGCGAAGCAAAAATAAAAAAACATTTTTAAATCTGCAATAAAAAGAATGACTTTCCTTCAACTTTTTTCTTAAGAGGAAAGCAAAAATGTAAATTGCAATGTGTTTGTAAAATATATTTGTATAATTTTAATGTAACAATAAGGGTTGAATTAAGCGATTGCGAAATGCAAAATCTGGAAAAATATCTGGTATTTAAAATTTTATTTAATTCAAACAACTTTGTTTTCAAGGAACGAATCAACATAAATTTGTAAGGGAAAAAGTTATAAAAAATAAAACAATAAATTTATGACTACAAAAGTAATAACACTCTAGTCACTAACTGCATTATAAAAGTAATAACACTATAATAGTGTTATTAAACTTGTTATTAAAAAAATGTGACAAACGTAATGTATAAAAAGTTTTGCATTATGAAAAATGTTACTAATGATCCGTAAAAACAACCAATAAAAGTTGGTTGATTTTAAAATTAATGCGCATTTTTACGGACTATTAGTAACCGTTAAACTTTTTATAAAGTTGTTCCTGAAGTTTTTAACAATATTTTAGTATCCGCTTTACTTTTTTTTAGATTTTTGGAATTACTAATGTTGTTTGAACAAAGAATGAACTTTAAAAGTAATAAGTGCTATATAAAAGTAATAACACTATTATAGTTTTATTACTTTTATAATGCAGTTAGTGACTAAAGTGTTATTTCTTTTGTAGTCGTAAGTTAATTGTTTTGTTTTGTTTTTTACAGCTTTTTTGTTAACAAACTTATAATAATTGCTCCTTGAAAACAAAGTACACAACTTTGAATTAAATAAAATTTTAATTACCAGATATTTTTTGTTTTATAAGTTTTTGTCTGTTGATGTATATCTTCGTTTGTTGTCGCGGGGTAAAGCATAAGTGGCGATGACGTTTGTCTGACAGGATAAACTAGTTATAAATGCTGATCCTCATCAAAACGCTAGTAATAATAGACACGACTCTGAGGAGATGTTTATTACTTAATCACTACACTAATTACGTTTACACATTAGCATTAATGTTTTTTTTTTTTTCCATTATTAGGCTTTTCATTGTTGTTAGCATATTTTTTATTTTGTGATCTATTAGGCTTTTCATTGTTGTTAGCATATTTTTTATTTTGTGATCGGTTTTTTGTTTTATAAGTTTTTGTCTGGTGATGTATATCTTCGTTCATATTGGTGTTTATAAAACAATTTTATTTATTTTTATTGTTATTATTGTTGTGGGTGTATAGCCTTTTTTATATTTATTTTTAAATATTTCTCTATTAATCTTTATTTTTGTCTTGACAACTGTCAAAATATGCTTTGTCTGATAAATAATTCTCCTTTATTCTAATGTACTTCTTTTTTTTCCCTCAGGCGTTCACTGCTCGTGTGTGACCATTCAGCAAATTTTATATGCCAAAGTTTTTTAATAAATTTATAATAATTGCTCCTTGAAAACAAAGTACACATCTTTGCATAAATTAAAATTTTGAATACCAGATATTTTTCTAAAGTTTGAAAATCGCGATCGCTTAATTCAACCCTTGATATATACTTGTAACATTAAAATTATAGAAATATATTTTACAAACAGATGATGGAACATACTTTTGCTTTCCTCTTTTAAAAAAAAAACAAATAAAATGTAGGAAAGTCATCCTATTTAATGTTTAAAACTTTTTTTACGTTTGTTTGTTTAATTTTTGCTTTGAATTTTGTTGCCAAAAATAATAACCACCACGAAGAAACAAAAATAAAAACAGTTCACAAATTATTTAAACTATTATTATTATTTCCTATTTAAGTTTATTTTAATTTCCTATTTTGTTATTTTGCTTTCTTTGTTTTTAAAACATTTTTCAGTAACGCATATAATTAAACTTGCAAACGGCTATGACCAAGTTGTCTAAATTAAATACTCATGCGTCATCATACAAGATGAAAAACCGTGCTCCTTTCCTGGGAAGGCTTGCATCCAGTAGGTACAAGATACAATCCTAAATACCAATTGCCTTCCGTAAAACATGGAGGAGGTAACGTAATGGTTTGGGGATGTTTTAGCTGAAATTGAGTTGGTCCTCTCCATAGAATTAATGACTATAAATCAAGGAAAGTACAAAGATATATGTAAGACTATTATGTTACCTTATGCAAAGGATAAAATGCTTCAAGGATGGATATACAACAGGATAACGATCCCAAACAAACAGCCAAATCAGTTTTAGAGTTTTTTAAAAAGAGTAAAGTTAATATTTTGAAGTTGCCATCCCAATCACCTGACTTAAATCCCATTGAACATCTATGGGAACATGTTGACCGTCAAATAAAAGGAATCAAGCCTACAAATTATGCTGATTTATTTAATAAAATTAAAGAAATTTGGGACTTAATTCCCATTGACGTTTGCATTCATTTAGTTGACTCTATGCCTCATAGATGCCTAGCTATTCTTGATTGTATAGGATATCCTACAATATATTAATGTGATTTTGTTTTATATAAATTTGTGATCAAATATTGTTGAAAAATTTGTACTATTTAAAAAAATAATGCTTTGTTTGCACTGGTAACATTGTTAATTTCTTATAATTCCAATACAATTTTACCAAATTTTTAACTGAACTTTTTATGAATAATATAATTTCTAAAATTTAATAAAGAAATACTTCATAATAAAATGTTGATTTGTATACCAATATAAAAATATTAATTAAATTATTATTCGATCAAAACCTAATTGTAAACTTGAAAACCTTTTAATTTGTATAAAGTATATTGGTTTTAGTGAAGTATGTGCTGAAATATAATTCCTTATTTTATAGAAATTAAAATTCCTTATTTTATTGCTTGTCCTCAAACTTTTGGACTCTATTGTATTTGTCTGGTTTCACAAAACGACCTGGTTTTCATAACATTTTGAAAAAACATTTTCCTTAATAAAATAAGAAATAACAACGAAAAAAATATGAAAACATTTAATGTTTTTTTGATTGTACTTTATTTTATATATTGATTGTATTTTATTGTATTTTAATATACTTGAAATGATGAAATATTAACTTAAAATTATTAAAACAACTAGTTTGTATGACTTAACTTAATATCTCAAAATTATTATTTTTTTGATTTT